TCAGACAGTGATAGGGTGGGGAGCACCACTGGACACAGTTGTCTGAGCCCTTGCAGGTGATGCTGAAGCAGGACCTGGGGTGCAGCTCTTGTCAGCCCTGAGGCATCAATGCTGGGGAATTAAGGGGTAGTTGCAGTAGGGCTGTGTAACACCCCCCCCCCCCACTGCCCCATGTGATGCTCCTGGGCATGGTTTCTATGGTCCTGTCCCAGGAGCAGCAGCCAGATCACAACAGTATCCCCATCCCCCAAGTATCCTGAAGCATCCTTGAGGCAGTGGGCAAATTAGAACATTTTTCAGTAGTTTTTATTACTTACAACAGTAATTTCAGTGCCATAGCAGGTTCCTGGTGTGGATTTGAGTAAGTGCTTGTGGTTGCTGCATGCAGCGGCTGGCATCACTTAATGTTCAAGAAGTCTCTGTAACAAGGTGCAGTAAATCTTACACTGTTATTGCTGACCATCCTGTGCTGTTCAGAGCCTGGTTTCTAATCCCTAGATGGGGGACTGTGCTGTGCGTAAAGCAAAGTTCTGTATGCAGGGCAGAGTAGATGGGACCTCGCTGCAGTGCCACAACCCCATGATACCCAGGCTGAGGACAGGCTTGGGGAAGTGAGGAGCAACTGGAGTTCAAAAATTGATGACAGTGAGCAGTGTAAGAGAGGAAGGAGCAGAGGGAGGACACCTGCATGGCTGTGACAGGGGAGGATGCACCCCTGGAAGAAGAGGCCCAGGCTCATTCTGTACCCCCTGTTTCTGCAGAGCAGCACTTACTTCACCAAGGCAGGCATCTCTGGGTTGAAGGAGATGTAGTCATGGCCCAGGCCCAGCTTTTTGGGAAAGGTAATGAACTTCACCTTGGTTTTGTCCTTGTAGGCACTGTGTGCCGTCTCAAAGAGCTGACATGGGGTGGGATCTCAGTTAGTGGCATGTGGAGAGGACCCCATACCCCCGTTGCATCCCAGGGACAGCCACAACTCTCCAGCCACTTCAGCCCTCCAACCCCAGGCTCAGATGCTGCCCACCCACATTAAAGCCTGTGCACAGGGACCCGTCCCCACCTTGCGTCCCAGGAGAGGAGGCAGGATGGAATCATCTTCTGCATGCAGGATGAGGAGCGGGCAGGACAGCACCTGCACGCTGTGAACAGCAAGCACAGTGCTGAGGAGTCACCCTGGAACTCATGGGCCCACGGGAGCCCCCCCAGCTCCTGTGAAATCTCTCACAGCAACCCTGACCCCCTGGCACTGCCATTCAGAGTCAGCCCAGCCCATCAGTAGCTACAGGTAGCTGCTGAACCGCTGCAGGGTGATGCCCATGCCACTTGTCCTGGCATGGCAGCACCAAGCACCCTAAAAGCTTAGACCTGGTTATGGGGTGCTCAGGCTTCAAAAGCTTCAAGTAAAGGCTATTGAGGTGTGTGTGCTGCACTGTGGGTGGGACTGGAGCGTGTAGTGCTCACAAAGAGGATAGTGGTTTGTGGACTTTACGCAGTGATAATACTGGTATCTGAAGCTGTGCAAATAAAAAGCCACTCATAAAGCATGAGTAAGATGAGCAAACCTAAATCAGAACACAGGCACTTCATGGTGTGACATGTCCAACCCCCCTCCCCTCGACCAGGTAGTCCCACTACCATCCCCACAGCCCCACAGGGCAGTGGTGCCCATTCCCACCAGACACTCACTTCTCATCACTGCGGAAGAACATGTCAGCCAGAGCAAGCGAGTCCAGGATGAGGTACTCAAAGCCCGGGAACTGGCGGTAGATCTGCCAGGGAGAGAGTTGGGGGGTGCTAAGCTTTGCCCTTGACTGATGCACCCTTTCCCTGCAAAGGGGGGAACACCCAGGTAGCTGGGGCTGCCTCTGAGAGCCCTTGATCTGTAACCATGGTGGGACCCTATGGACTGAAGCCTTGGGCTCACCTTGGTGAGAGGGATGTGTGCAGCTGCCTCACGGATGTTGGTGTAGGGCGATTCCAGGACAACGGCATCAACCTGGACTCCTGAGGTCAGAGTTCAGTGAGAGCAGGCATGGCTGCAGGGGAATTTCTCTCCCCAGGCATCAGCCATGAGACCAAAATGCCCCCTTCCCTCTAAGAAGCATGGGAATGGTCACTTGTCCCCGCTCCAGGAGCTGACCCTGATGCTTTAGCAGACAGTGACAGGGATCCCCCAGCTCCTTAGTGGCCCCCGAATTGTCACATACCAGGGATGTGCAGAGCCCAGAGGAAAACTGCACAGGGCCAACCCAGCCTCAGTGGTCCTTACCTCGCTCCTCCTGCAGTTTCCTTGCTGCATTTGTGGCAATCCTGTGAAAACAGAGGTGACAGTGACGGGGAGCAGCGATGATGCCCCAGCAGGATGCACAGCACCCGTAACACCCGCTGGGTTTTGCCTTGCAGATGCTTCCACCAAGGAGCTGCTCTAACCCCTTGTTCATCCCCCAAGTGGCATTGATCTGGCAGCAGTGTCACAGCTCAGGGACTGTCTGCAGACTCCAGAGAGGCAGCACCCATGGGGCGAATGCCCCATCTATTGTCCAGCCCCACACGTACCCTGTCCCCAGGGAGTGTCCCCAGAAGAGGATGATGCTGTTCCCACTCCGTGCTTTGGCCCAGTCATAGAGTGCCAGGACATCTGTGGTGAAGCCGTTCTCTGTAGGGAGCCCGCTGGAGTCCCCATAGCCTGCAGGGGACATGGCTAGGTGTCACAACCCTGGTGAGGCTGGCCTCAGGAGGGTCACTTAGCAAGAGGCAGAGGGATGACTTTACCTCTGTAGTCAAGAGCCAGGATGTGGAAGCCAGCAGCACCCATTGTCTGTTGGAGGAGCAGCACTGTTATGCCTGAGTGGAGGTTGCACCGTAGGACCCCCAGCACGGTGCGGTTCACTCTGGCCAGGGTTTCTCTTGAGTCCCTGGGGCCAGTGTGAGCCTTACTCCCAGCACGTGCCAGTCCCCTCACAGGGAATCACTTACCTTCAAGAACTGGATGCGATGCCCTGCAGCTCTGATGGGGAAAATGAGGTTAGAGCTCAGGCAGGGACCCTCAAAGAACCTTCCCCTCCAGCACCAAGGGACCGGCGTGACCTCCTCCCAGGAGGGCAGACCTGGATGCTCTGGGCTGAGTGGGATTTGGCGTTTCCCTTGAACTCCAAGGGACTATACTTGACTTGTGGGGTCAGACACCGCTGCAGCAGCCCTGGCCAGGCAGCGCTGCTGGCTGCTGCATGGAGTTTGCTAGTTCTCACCCCAGCAGAGATGCTGTGTGGGAGCAGCCTCCTCTCCTGGCAGAGGCAGGGGCGCTCACACGTACTCGCCTGGTCCCCCCATTGCCGTGCAGGTAGATGATCACGGGGTGATCGTCGCCAAGTGCTTCCTCGTACCACTTCTGGTCCTTGCCCCGTGCCTCAGCACCTCTGCTGTCTGGCACGGTGTGCCTGAGGGGAGCAGAGCGGGGTTACCCTGGGGAGCTGCAGGACACTCTGGGCACAGAGTCACCCAGCTGTGCCCACCCAGGATGCTGGGGCTGCCCCACTCACCAGATGCCAACCATCACACCCGGCTCGGTTGTGAGGTACAGGTTGATGGTGTTGTTCAGCAGCAGCTCCGGCTGACGAAAGTCAACAAAGAAAGGAAAGGCCACTGGGGAAAAAATCACAGCCATCACTTGGGCAACCCAGGAATCATCACACCCAGCTGCTTTAATGCATTTGTTCCAAAGCAGGATGTTATTGATTTTAAATTATTAGCCTGGAACCCCAGGGCCTCTCTCAGCCCAGCTCAAGAGTGGGGAAGTGAGCACAGCCCTCGGCCACCTCCTCCCACACAGATTTCTAACCCCACTGGCACTGTGCGTGCTCACGTGTTGCAACTTCCGGCAGTAAACAGGGTGGACAGCACCATGTTATTACAGGTTACAAAACACGAGGCACCAACAGAAATTCCTCCCATACCTCCTCTGCAAGCCCATGGCAAGGGGGCATCAATGGGTGCTGTACCAGTGCCACCCATGCACTTGTGCACCCCACCCACATTTCAGGGACCCCCCAACTCTCTTCCTGATGAATCCCGAGTGGGGTGGCTCTCCCAGCCTGGGGCACTCACAGAAGTTCAGGTAGACAAATTTGGTGAGCAGGACAGGGAAGAGGCGGATGAGGATGGGCACAGAGATGTAGATGAGGAGCGGGACCAGGACGACGGTGCGCAGCTGGGGACACCAGCGCAGCCAGCCCCTGCAAAGAAGGCATCTTGTTAGCTTATCCCTTCCCACCCCACAGGCTTTGGGGCACAGCAGAGTGGGGCTTCTGATCCCAACCCCAGTTGTGAAGGCAGGGGCTTGTCCCCTGTAAGGGCCTGAGGTGGCTGTTTGCGTTCCTCTGCCATGGGGAGCTGGTTACCCACATCAGCGTTGTGTTTGGCTTTTGGGCATGGAGCTGAGCTGTCGGAGCAGCCCTACTGTGACACAGCATCATGAGAGGCCATGATCCAGCCCTCTACAGCCTCCCAGAGGAAGAAGGGCAGGGCAAGCACCAGGGCCAGGAGCTGCAAGCCAAACTGGCAATGAGAAGCGGCCCATACTCTGTGGCAACACCCTGAGCTGTGACTGCTGAGCCATGGTCACAGAGGTGTCACAGTATCACAGTATCACAGTATGCTAGAGATTGGAAGGGACCTCAAAAGATCATCTAGTCCAATCCCCCTGCCAGAGCAGGAACACCTAGATAATGTTACACAGGAATGTGTCCAGGCGGGCTTTGAATGTCTCCAGGGAAGGAGACTCCACAACCTCCCTGGGCAGCCTGTTCCAGTGTTCCGCCACCCTCACTGAGAAGAAGTTCCTTCTCAAGTTTAAGTGGAACCTCTTGTGTTCCAGTTTGCACCCATTACCCAAGCCCAGCACCAACAGCCTCTGTGATTCTCCAGGGACAAGGGGGAAATCTGGGGAAGTGGCTTGGGAAACCCACAGCCTGTGGGAGGAACCAATCCCCAGAGCGATGTCCTGCAGTGCCACCAGTACAGGGGAGGGAGTGTGACCACCTCTGACAGCATCATGCTCCCAAGGGCTAGGGCTCACATCCAGCTGCCCCAGCTATGCCCTCTGCAGCAAGCCATTGACCAGCTGAAGCCCCAGCATCTGAGAGGGAGGGGAAAGCCAAGAGCTGCCGCTTGTCCAGCATCAACATCTCTCATGAGCTGATGGTGCTGGGTGATGGGGAAACCAGTCCGGGTGCAGCGCTGGGGGATTAAGAGCAGAGGTTTCTGACAGGCGTCCAAGCACAGCTCACTCCCTGCCAGCATGTGCCTGGCATCACCATCACTCCTGCTGAAGAGGACTGAGTCCAGTGCCTGCCCTGGCAAGTGCTGCAAGATGCCAAGAAAGGGTTGCAAAAGGGGTGCCAGGGCAGGGTGCCATAGTTCCCTGGGCACCAGCACCCCTCCAAGAAGCCTGACATACAGGATGGCATGAGCAATGATGGAGCCATGGGGAGCTCCTCAAGCCCCAGTCACACCCTGAGACTTCAGACTGAGCAGTCTCACCAGCAGCAACCGGCCAGAGGTGCCCTCACAGTCACTGCAGTGAATGAGGCACTACTCTTGGTCTACACCCAATATTCAAGTGCAGGGGCGAGCGCTCACACCCGTCCTTGCACAATAACTGCTGCAGGTGAGCACTGACGCATCCAGTCCAGGGGGATGTGCCCACTGAGGGGCATCTCTGACACCTGGGATGGCTTCATGGGGATAGCAAGGTGACATGGGGACACAGCCACAGCATGGCATCATGAGGGTCGGGGCACAACCATGGTATGGGGGATCACGCCCATGGCAGGATCCACATAGAGCCACAGCCACCACGGCTGGTGCAGGGTGGCACGGCCACGCCAGGGGGATAGGCACAGGATCACGGCCTCAGCCAAGTGACAAGGTCACGCCGTGGTGACACAGGAGCATGGCCACAGCACAAGGGACAAACCCACGGCACAGGGGCACAGCGGTGGCACACGGCCACAGGAGACGCGGCGGGGAACACGGCCGGGGCTCAGAGCGTGGCCACGAGCGGGGACAGCGGGACCCGGCGGACACGGTCCCTGCGAGCGCAGCGGCGGCGCTCGGCATTGCCCCTACGCTGGCACGGCAGCCCAGGCCGCCGGCACCGCGGCGGGTACTCACCGCCGCTCCTCCCGGGGCCCGCTCTCCTCCCGGGCCCCGCGCTCCGCCTGGGCTCTGCTGTCTGCCCTGGCGCTGCTCTCCGCCCGGGAACTGAACTCCTCCCAGGCCCTGTCGCCGTCAGTGCGGCCGCCATCGCCCCACTCGCGCCGCCGCCGCGACATCGCCGCCGCTTCCGCCGCCTGCACGCGCCACGGCCGGTTCCATTCAGGCCCCGCCTCAACCACAGCCACCCCGGGGCGGGGCCGAGGCTGCCCCAAGGGGTGCAGCGGGCCGGGGGGCGCTGCAGGGACCGCTCAGCCCGAGGCCGTGCGGGGGGGGTGAAGCGCGGGGCGCGCCGGCCTTGCCGAGGGAAGGATCCCGGATAAAAACCCCAAATAATAACAAAAATACAGGGTTGAAACCAACGCGGGTGTCCCCGCGCCTTCTGGAAGGGGAGAAACCTGCTGCTGGTTCCTTTCCCCGTGCGTGTCCCCTGTGTCCTGCTGTGTCCCCTGTGCCATAGGTCTGTCTCTGTGCCGCAGCCTTGCCGAGCTACTGAAGCCATCACCATATGCTGTGGCCATGCTCCTGTGTCCCCTTAGCGTGGCCTTGTCACTTGCTGAGGTCAGGATGCCATACTGTGGCTCTGGCTCCATGGCACCCTGCCATGGGCATGATCCCCCATACCATGGTTGTGCCCCGACCCTCATGATGCCATGCTGTGGCTGTGTCCCCATGCCACCTTGCTACCCCCATGAAGCCGTTCCTTGGCCTGTTGCCATCCCAGGTGTCAGAGATACCCCTTGGTGGGCACATCCCCCCGGACTGTACGCATCAGTGCTCACCTGCAGCAGGTATTGTGGAGTGCTTGCCCCTGTGCTTGAATGTTGGCTGTAGACCAAGAGCAGTGCTTACTTCATTGCATGGGTGGCACTGGTAGAGCACCCATCTGATGGCCCCTGCTGTAGGCTTGCAGAGGAGGCATTGAGGTACCTTTTCCATTGGTGCTTTGTGTTGCGCAAGCTGTTGCAACACGTGGGCACGCACAGTGCCAGTGGGGTTAGAAATCTGTGTGGGAGGAGGTGGCCGAGGGCTGTGCTCACTTCCCCACTCTTGAGCTGGGCTGAGAGTGGCCCTGGGGTTCCAGACTAATAATTTAAAACCAGTAACATCCTGCTTTGGAACAAACGCATTAAAGCAGCTGGGTGTGATGATTCCTGGGTTGCCCCAGTGATGGCTGTGATTTTTTCCCCAGTGGCCTTTCCTTTCTTTGTTGACTTTCGTCAGCCGGAGCTGCTGCTGAACAACACCATCAACCTGTACCTCACGACCGAGCCGGGTGTGATGGTTGGCATCTGGTGAGTGGGGCAGCCCCAGCATCCTGGGTGGGCACAGCTGGGTGACTCTGTGCCCAGAGTGTCCTGCAGCTCCCCAGGGTAACCCCGCTCTGCTCCCCTCAGGCACACCGTGCCAGACAGCAGAGGTGCTGAGGCACGGGGCAAGGACCAGAAGTGGTACGAGGAAGCACTTGGCGACGATCACCCCGTGATCATCTACCTGCACGGCAATGGGGGGACCAGGCGAGTACGTGTGAGCGCCCCTGCCTCTGCCAGGAGAGGAGGCTGCTCCCACACAGCATCTCTGCTGGGGTGAGAACTAGCAAACTCCATGCAGCAGCCAGCAGTGCTCTGTGGGGCTGTGAGGATGGTGGTGGAACCACCTGGTTGAGGAGAGGTGGGTTGGACATGTCACACCATGAAATCCCTATATTCTGATTTATGTTTGCCCATCTTACTCATGCTTTAAGAATGGCTTTTTATCTGCATAGCGTAACCAACCATTTTGGTACAGAGCTAAGCCTATGTCTGCACACCATTCCAGGGCCCAAGGCCTGTGTTTGGGGATTGGTCGCTTACTTGGTATCACCATCCTACCACATCATTTCCCCTGTGCTCCCTGTGATGACTGCAAGAGCCAAAGCCCCCAGTACTGTCGTGTTGGCCACTAGCTTTATTCACGCAAACACAAGGGCAGTGTATTTCCTCAGCAGGCAGAACTAATTCAAAGGCTCCAGCCTGGAAATAAAACAAGGATATATTCTTTTCAAGCATGACTTTGCTAAAACCCTTTCATTGCCTCCCATGTGGCTATGGGATTCCCTAGCCTCGCACAGGCAAACTGCTCTGCCTTTCCCCACCTGGCTGTGGGCAATGCTGAATTCATGCTGAGTTTCTTGTGCATTTCATCGAGCCTGGTCTCAGTGACACCCTGCAGCAGCAGTGGCAATGTCCCTCAGTCCATCTGTACTAGCACAGCGACATGCCCAGCCCAGCTCACGGCCCGGCTGCCCAGAGCCCCTCACCTGCACACGTGGCAGAAAGGGATGGGGGTCTGTGCCCTGACCAGCCCCAGCCTTCTGAGAGGGCTCCTCTCTGAGAGGAGACTTGGATGTTTTGAACATGACCTGCTGTGATTTGGCCCAAGCCCTGGAACCGCACATGAACCAGCACTGGGGACACTGCTGGAAACAAGAGATTTAGGGTCAAAACATCAATTATTCTCTTTGCGTGGACTTTCCTGCATGCAAAAGAATAACTCTGGCCCCCAGGCCCCCTGCTAGGAGCAGCGTGCATGACAGCCTAGCTGGGATGCCCAGCTAGTGCCTAGGTGGGGGCACAGGTCACTCACTACTGCTTCCACCCAAACAGCAGAAAATTTTGCTCCTGCTGTGAATCCTTGTGCTCACTTGCACCTGCTGCTCCCCGTTCACAGACCTTCTGTGGCCAGCACAGATGGTGCTTTGCAGCCTGCGGTGGTTTCTTAGCAGACTTTGGGAGAATCCTGTACAAGGAGGAGGGCCTGAACCCCAGCCTCCAGCATCCCTGCACTTTAACCCCACTTCTTCAAGGGGCAAACAATCGGGCCCGCAAAACTCTCCAGCAGAAGACAGAGCTGCCAAATAGCCAGAGACAGAACAAGCCAGAGGCTTGCTTCCGAAAACGTGGGGACACCAGATGAAGTTATTGGATACCACTGTAGCTGCAGTGACCTCCTGTGTCTCCAGCACTGCTGTGGGATCAAGCCTGGTTTAGCTCAGCCCCCTGGAAGTGGGCAGACCTAGGATGATTCCTGGAAACATGATGAAGGCCAGCTTTGCACGCAGGGACACTCGTTGTGGATCAGTTCATGTGTGGCAACTTGCTGGGCTGCCCCCAGTTGTTGGCCTAAGCAAATGTAAGAGGTATGCAATGTCCTGGGCTGCTCCTTGCTGGCAGTTCCTTGCTGTGAGGATGTGTTGAAGATGCTCTGTCCTTGCTTTGATGCAGGATATAGTTCTCACTTTGATTTTCAGAGAGAAGAAATGCAAGCATCTAGTAATAGCCCCTTGATATTCTCTAATTAATTCCTGTTTTGCTTCATTAACACTCAACAACAAATCACATTAGCTTTGCATTAGGAAAACCTAACACAAACTTCCCTCTGAAATCACAAACAGAACTGCCAGCTCTGTTACAGGAATGCCAAAAAAAACACAAGCTAAGCAAGGGTCTCTTGCGTGCCCACAGGTACACAGAGGGGCAAACAAGGTAATGGTGAGAAACTATTTGGAAAAGGCCAGATACCAAGGACTGATCTGCACAGATCTGAAGAGTGAGATGATGCTGAGCTCCACTCTCTCCCTGTTTCAGGAGAGCCACTTTGGACTCACCCTCTCCTGGTTCTGCTTCAGCTGCACTGCATTAGGCAGCGTGCTGCTGGAGGGCATCTTCCAGGCTGTGTCCCTGGGAGAAGTCCAGGTCCTGCTGCTGCTCTGCACACAGGCATCCTCAGGCCAGGAGTACTGCGCATACATGGTGCAGCTGCGCTGCAGGCTGCTGGTCTGAGCTCAGCAGTTTCCATATCCTGCTCTGGGCGGCAGCCTCCCTTGGAGTCTTGCAGTCGAGATGATACTGATGGAGTCTGGCTGCTGCTGGGATCTGAACCCTGGCAAGAAGGCCTTGAACTTTGCTGGTGGCTGGTTCATGCACACCAGGGTACAATAAATTCCTCCCCATTGTCCCTCATGGGGCAGCCCAGGGCACTCAAAGTAGCAAGAAACTCAGCCCCAGCTCTAAAGCCTGTGGCTCGCTGAGATCCAAACGGGATCTTCAGGACACATCCTCTCTGGTGCACTCGGAGGCAACCTAGGGATAGAAGTTAGCACAGTGCTATCTTCATGCATCTGCGCAGCCTCTGACTTCCACAGCAGTGAGAGCTCTGTGAAGGATATGACCAACGTCACCAGCAGAGCTAAAGATGCCATTGTCATCATAAATTAGCAAAACATTTTAAAAAAAACAAACCCCCCAAATAAACAAGCCCTATGAAATCATCAGCAAAAATGAACAAAGTGGGCATGTAGGAAAAGACGCCGTAGGAAAATCCAGTCGGAAACCTCCCCCTCTCACAGCTGGTGCGGGGAAGTTTGGAAGGAAACAAGCCCAAACTTTGCTGGTTTTGCATAGAACAATGGCGAGCCGTGCGGTGTCGCGCCCCTCGGCTGCGGCTCATTGCTGCCATCGCATGTCCAGCCCCCGCTGTACAAGCCGCATTTCCCTCACCACGCTCAGGACTGAGCCAGCGCAGCCTCTCGCTTGGAGGAGTTTCCCTCCAGCCCGGGAGATCCTCATGTTTGACACGTTCGCTGTGCTGGTTCCTTGTGGCACGAAGTGTTTGCGCCATCCCGGTGCACGCACGGCATCTGCCAGAATCCTGTGCTGATCCCCTTCAGCTCTTGCAGCCCAATAATGCCTGGCAACCTGCCCCTCCCCATTGACAGCAAAGCGAGGTGTTGGGACCATCTCTCCTGTCCTCTTCATGGCAATGCACTGCTGCTGCCCCAGCTGCAGCCCCTGCACCCACCAGGGATGGGGGGAAGCCGGGGGGGGGGGGCGGGAAGCAAAAAGCTGTCATGAATCAAACCAGCCGGATGTGCTGATTGCTTTCGCTCGTCCTCCTGCTCCCTCGGCATGGGCAGAGCGGCTTGCGGCTGGCCTGGGCCACGTCACTGCACCATGTGCTGATGGGGAACCCGCACCCACCTGCCCACAGCCCTGGTTTGACGGGACCTGCCTGGATCTGCATTCGGGGTTGGCACAGGCTGCATCCGCATCAACCTGAGTCACAGAGCTGCACATAAGCACCCTGCTGAGCAACACCTCAACTGTCCACCAAGGGTGCCGGGTGCTGGAGGGTGCAGCGCCACGTGCCCAGCGCCTGCCTTGTCTCAGCAGCCTGTCCCACCATCGTGTCCTGCCTTGCCTGGCCCTGGAGCTCGGCTGAAATGGCAGGAGCAGCCCGGTGTGCGCTGGTCTTGCTCGGGAGGGCAGGTGGAATAAGAGCAGCTCGAAACGCTGGCACGGGCTGGCTGCTCCTCCAGGAAAGGGTTTGCTCCCAGTCCTCCCGAGGTGTATTGACTAAAGCCCTCTCTGCTGTGGGCCATGCTGGCTGGTTCAGTGACACGGGCAATGGCCTAGTCGTGCGTTCCAGCGTCCAGGCAGCGCGTCCTCCTGCGCCGGTCCGAGTTTCAAGGGAATACCGGTGAAACGGGGATATTCCTTTCCGGGTGGGAAGTTTCAGCTCCAGCCGACTCGGCCTGACAGAGCGGGAGTCGCAGCTGAGAGGGGAACCAGCAGCAGGTTTCTCCCCTTCCAGAAGGAGCGGAGACACCCGCGTTGGTTTCAACCCTGTATTTTTGTTATTATTTGGGGTTTTTATCCGGGATCCTTCCCTCGGCAAGGCCGGCGCGGCCCGCGCTTCACCCCCCCCCGCACGGCCTCGGGCTGAGCGGTCCCTGCAGCGCCCCCCGGCCCGCTGCACCCCTTGGGGCAGCCTCGGCCCCGCCCCGGGGTGGCTGTGGTTGAGGCGGGGCCTGAATGGAACCGGGCCGTGGCGCTGGCGGCGGCGTGAGTGCGGCTGTGGCGGTGGCGGCTGCGTTGGCGGCGAAGGCAACAGGGCCTGGGGGAAGTTCCGTTCCTAATTCAGCTTTGCAATATTAAGGCTTTGCAATATTGGGGCTGGGGCTAAATCACTAAGGAAACGAAACAAAGGGTTTGAGGTACCATAACTTAGCGAGGCACACTCTGCGGTTAAAGACTATCAGTTATGGACAAAGGGTTAAAAAGACTACTATCTTTGTACAGCCTATGAAACTAAGCTGTTGCAGGCTGGTTAAACAGTAAGTTGGGGTTCAACATCTGCCAGAGATTTATGAAATCTAACCATAAAAGAAATAAGAAGAAGGGTCATACGAAACGGAGTAACGGGAGATACAAACAGAGGAGGGAGGAGTTGGCATGTAGATTATACGCGCTGGATAGGCTGTAAACCGTGGAGTATCCAACCAGTGGGAAAACAAGGGAGGGGGCTTGTGGGCGAGAGAGGAAATACAGATCAAAGGTGTGCTGTGCTGTGCGTGCCTACGTGCCGGGAAACCCGGTTTGCAAAAACGGTCATAAAAAATAGCTGCTGCCTCCCTGGCGTGTCTGCCCTGAGCCTTTACACGAGAAGTTTGTATCTCACATGTGGGGGCTCCTCAGGGATCAAGTCATTGTTGAGGGGACCTCCGCCGCTGAAGGATGGGGAGACGTGTCCTGTTGATTTCAACGACCTCGTGCGGCTCGACAGGGGCTCCGCAGCTGACTAAAATCCTGAGACCATTGTTGTAGGGTAGACCCGGTGAACCAGAGGGGGAAAAGAGACAGAGGAAAAAGTAGGCACCACTGCAGCAACCAGGCAACTCCGTCCATGGGCTAAGGTAAGAAATTGGACTTGAAGCATTACCTTGGCGGTTGGGACAATCTGAGAGACTTGAGCGTGTGTCCGAGATGTACAAGTAAGTACAAAGAGAGTGTGAAGTCCAGATCCACATTTCTGTTATTCCATGAGAGATATAGCCAGAGAAGGACAAAGTGTAAGGACTTGTTGAAAGGAAGTCTCGGGAAACAGAATGGAGAATAAGAAAAATAGGCCTAAGGAAAAGAGAAGGGATGAGAGGAATCATCCGAGGAATAACATTCCTCCAGAAAGCCCCTTAGGGAGGATGTTGAAAAATTGGAAAGACATGTCTTATATAAAAAGGGACAAGATAAGAAAAAGATGGTACAGTACTGTTATTTTATATGGGCAAAGAAAAGTATTCAGCCACTGGCTATTTTTTGTCCAAAGCGTGGGGCTAGTAAGAATGTCAGACTTTAAATCTTCATGTAAATGTCAAGGGGTAACAGGCTCAAACTTAAACAGGGGAGTTTAGATTAGATACAAGGAAAGAAGTTCTTTACTGTTAGGGTGGTGAAGCACTGGAATGGGTTGCCCAAAGAAGTGGTAAATGCTCCATCCCTGACAGTGTTCAAGGCCAGGTTGAACAGAACCTTCAGTGACATGGTTTAGTGTGAGATGTCCCAGCCCCTGGCAGAGGGGTTGGAACTAGATGATCTTAAGGTCCTTTCCAACCCTAACTATTCTATGATTCTATGTTAAGGAACCTTTCTCACAAGAAGAGTCTGATTATGCTGCATGCTGGGTATGCTGGGAGTGTGAGAAGTGTAAGAGGTCTCCTGGGAGACTCGGGTCGAGATCAACAGTGAAGCAGGAGGGAGAAATTCTGCCCCTCCCTGCAGTTCACTTGTTCCCCTTAAAAACAACAAACAAGAAAATTAAGGGAAATACTGAGGAACCTAAGGCATGGGATCCTCTAAAGAGTTTACCCCCTCCATATGATTCCCCCCAAATAGTTTATAACCCACCCCCAGACAATCCTAATGAGCAGGAGGTGCAGCATCTGCAGCCGTGATGGGTGCAGTGCCACTGGGCTCAGAGAAGCCCACCCATGATGAGATCACTGCTGTGTGTGTGCAGTTAGACATCAACAGATGGTGACAAGAGAGGCTGACACAGCCTCTCCATAAAGAGGCCAGCTCTGCACCACTGCCAGCACCATGCTGCCAGGGTGGGATGCACTGGGCAGAGGGGATGTGCACATGCCAAGTGTCAGACCTAAGCTGCTTTGGCAGGGCTGTGAGGCTCACACAGCGCCTCCCTCTGCTGAGACTGGGCTGAGTCAGCAGTCTGAACCCCTTGCTTTCAGGAACAATAAATTCTCTTACTGATTTTACAAAAGAAAAGGGGAGAAAACCTATAAATGACTTACAGTATTTCAGGAACATTGTTTGGCCCTGAAGTAGAAAAGCCTGCTCCACAACTTGCTGTTTGTGCAGTCAAGCTTATCAGATGGCTTTACCCCAGCCACAGCTCCAGAAATGCTGCTCATGAGCAGCCCCATGCAGGCACAGCACACTTTGCACACAGGATCAAATGCATGTGGAGCCATACACTTAATCGCACACATGCGCACACGTAGTCACACACTTGATCAGGTGCACTGTAATTACTAAACCAAAGGATAACTGTTTTGGGAGTAAAAAGAGAGGGATTTTCAGCGAGAGGGATCTTTGGTTCCTGTCTTTGAAGATACTACCTTGAAAAATACAGTGAAACAATTCATAGGCCAATTGTTATACATTCCTGTAGCAGGAAGCAATTTGCTAGGGAGAGATTTAATTGTACAACTAGGCTTAGAAATGAAAACTTACAGGGATCAAATTTTGGTTTCAAGGGTTCTAGTAAAGGAACAGGATGAGGAAAATATAGACCCAGTTGCTTGGGTAAAAGAGGGAATTCGAACCTTGCCCAGAAAATGCCTAGGGATATCCTCTTTGCCCTGGGTACACAGCTTTGCTCTAAGCCCTAGATACACATCTAGGACTCAGAAACCAGGCTCTGAAGCATGATGGTCAGCAATAACAGTGCAAAATTTACTGCACCTTGTTACAGAGACTTCTTGAACATTAAATGATACCAGCTGCTGCATGCAGCAACTACAAGCACTTACTCAAATCCACACCAGAAACTTAATGTTGTAATAAAATCTACTGAAAAACATTCTAATTATCCCACTGCCTCAAGGATGCTTTGGATACTTGGGGGATGGGGATACTGTTGTGATCTGGCTGCTGCTCCTGGGACAGGACCATAGAAACCGTGCCCAGGAGCATCACATGGGGCAGTGGGGGGGGGGGGGGGGGTTACACAGCCCTACTACAACTACCCCTTAATTCCCCAGCATTGATGCCTCAGGACTGGCAAGAGCTGCACCCCAGGTCCTGCTTCAGCATCACCTGCAAGGGCTCAGACAACTGTGTCCAGTGGTGCTCCCCACCCTATCACTGTCTGAGCCCCAGCACCTCAGCCCTGACACCCAGTTTTTGCATTAGTGTTGGTACGAGCCCAGTCCCTGATTTAGACTTCAGCAAAGAGCTCTTGGACTCCAGTGACACAACAGGGCAACAGTTCTCGCATTCTGCACGACCCTTGAGTTACAAAAATTACCCCTTCCCCACCCGTAGGAAAGCCAGCAGCAGCACAGACACCACACAGCAGAGACAGAGACCATTGTACAGCGTCTGTGCTCACATCCGTCAGCTCCAGCTGCCAGCAGCTCCGTGCCCCTATGCTGCTGTGCCGTTGGGTGTACTCTGCTCAGCCGTGTCCCGGGGCTCATTGGGCGGTGGAATCTTCAGGTAGGAGGGCTCCACGTGCCAGATGTCCCGCGCGTATTCCTTGATGGTGCGGTCGCTGGAGAACTTGCCGGCTGCTGCGATGTTCCTGATGACCATCTTGGTCCATGCCTTGGAGTTCTGCAAAGAGAGAGGTGGGACTGTGGCTGGAGGCTTGCACCCATGGGTGCTACACTGGCCCTAAGATGGAGGACTCCCTGCAGCAGCACATCCAGGAGCCTCCTCACCAGGAACCCATGTACACGCACAGACCCATCCCCGGGGAGGGGATGTGGTGCCCCCACCAGAGCTCCCCTGCCTTGTCCCCAGGCCGGCACTCACCAGGTACAGCTCGCTGACCTTCTCCTGGCACCTGACATAAGCCTCATAGTCTGCAAAAACTTTAAACCTGTAGCAGCAAAGAAAGGAGTCGGTGGCAGCAGGAAAGCAGAGGCAGGAGCTTGCCGCGGACGGTGGCTGCAGCACACGGGGCTTGGGCTGCCACATCTTGGGCTGCCTCCAAGACGAGCACTTCAGACAAGTTCACCCTCCCCAAGCCCTGTTTGCGCAGAGCCCTGCAAGCCCATGGGTGCTGTGGCACGTGTGCTCTGGGAGGGCACATTGGGAGACATTGTTCCAGAGCAGATGCTGGTGGCCCTTGGCTGCTTAATGCTCTGGCCAGGAAAGCCCTGGAGACACTTAAAAGCATCCATCGTCTGGTGAGGGCTGTGCACTCAAATGCGTCTTGGCCTTAATGTACCCCAGGCTTTAATGGGCCAAGCTAAGGTGCTGGACACGGACCCGTCTCTTGTACCAGTGAAGCATCAATTGCTCGACCACACGCACATCATCAGAGCTGGAAAATTGGACGTTATGAGCCAGAGGGTGGATGGAGGGTGCAGGGGGCTGCTCCACACAGGCACTGGGAGTTTGGTGGGGGAACCCAACCCAGGGGATGGAGGCATCCCAGGGCTCACCTGTCGTGGTGGAAGAGCATGTTGACCACGTCGCTGAAGAGGTCAGGCTCCTCTGGGGAGAAGAAGCCACTCTTAATCTGGTCAATGGCTTCCTTCAACTCGGGGAGCTGGTCATAGTACTTCTGGGCATTGTACCTGGCAGGGAAGGGCTCATATGAGACCACGCTGCTCCAGCTGCCTGTGGTAGCACCCCCACGGTGTCCCCAGCCCTCACCCTTCCCTGTCCAGCTCTGTGACATCCTCCACCCTCATGCCGAAAATGAACAGGTTTTCCTCTCCAGCCTCCTCAGCCATTTCCACGTTGGCTCCATCCATGGTGCCGATGGTCAGAGCCCCATTCAGCATGAACTTCATGTTCCCTGTGCCCGACGCCTCAGTGCCTGCTGTGGAGATCTGCTCCGACAGGTCAGTAGCAGGAATCACTGCCAACAGAACACGCGGACACAAGGGGCTCACAGCGACCAGCTTTGCGTTTGTATCATGTCAAAGAATGTTGGCAGTGATGGAGCCATGGGCTGGTGGACAGCCACGGGGCCGATGTACCCTCCCCACAGCGTGCTCCACGTGGGCTACCTTTCTCTGCCAGCGAGACCCTGTAGTTCTCCAGGAAGATGACCTTCAGCTTACTCCCCACAACGGGGTCGTTGTTCACCACCTGAGCCACAGCATTAATGAGCTTGATGATCATTTTAGCCATGTGATATCCTGGGGCAGCCTAAGAGAAAAGCCACAGGTGAGCCCAGAGGCCTGGCCAGGGGAGCTCCATCCAGTGCCCACCTGCCCAGGGAAGGACCCCCTCAAGACTTCTTCCATCACCTCATCCAACCCATGTGTTGCACCACCAAGCTTTCAGGGGCTTCCCTGACCAAAAGCAGCACATGTTTGTGCACGCCCCAAAACTCGGTGCCTTGCTTGGATCGAAGCCAACAAGTGCTGCCCCAGCCCTTCCTGGCGAGCTCCATGGACCTAGCCACATGGGACAGCTGCAACCAGTTTCCCTAGGGCATTGTCAAGGACTTCCTCCAAAATGCCTAAAACTCCTGACCCAACTCACCTTGCCCCCAATGATCACTGTCCTCGGCACAAAGAGCTTTGCAGGATCCTTCCTGATGCCTGGAGGAGACAGCAGCAAGGTGTCACCCTCTGTTTTAACTGCATCCCAGGGCCTAGGAATGCTCATGCACCCGCTGGGGAGCCTGTCCCCTTGGGGTGCATGGTGGCTTACGGTTGTACATAGTGATGATGTGCAGGCAGTTCATCAGCTGCCGCTTGTACTCGTGGATCCTCTTCACATGCACATCGAACATGGAGGAAGGGTTGATCTTCACTTTGTACTCCTTCTCCAGGTACAGCGCGAACTTCACCTTGTTCTCCTGGGTGAGGGCAGGGAGCATGTCAGCGCTAGCCTGCGCTCTCCCTGCCTCCAGCCCCTGGCCACCCCCTCACCTGCTTCACTTTGGCAAGCTCCCGGATGAAGAGGTCGTCGTCCACGCACTCGTGCAGCTTTGTCAGCTGGCTCAGGTCCCG